TCCTCTTACAGTCTCGCCTCCTCCTCCTCACTTGCCCTCTGCGATAGCCTCTAGCTTTGCTCATAATTGCGAACTTTAAACTATTGCTTCTTGTACATGTGCTCAGAATGTGTGGTGACATTGTGATCCACCCTGAGCTTATTCTGCTTTGCTTGCTCTGCTGATTACACCCCACTTTGGTTATGGGGGTGTGTCAGAATGTTATGCTCTAGCTTGTAGTGGGGTGCTCTATAGCGAGTACAACCCTTCTAGGGTTTGCTATTTGTATCCTCATTCCTGCTAGTGAACCCCCTCTTTGCCTACACTTTCTCTTGCCTAGCTAGGGCTTTCCTAGCTATGGCGCCTTCTTCTAGTGCTTATCTTCACAGGAATTCTCGCATCCCTCTCCGTTCCGTTACGTAGTCAACTCAGAAGCAGGGATGACTCGTCTCCTTGTTAGAAACACGCTCATGAGGGTGGGAAGGTGGTCCCCCTAACGGGCTGGGAGGAGTAAATGAAGAGGCGTATCGCTCACGAGCCCCCTCCCTCAGTCGTGTGCACGACAATCGATCAGTGTCGGGTCAAACGGTGGCGATTGTGATTGTTGAATAGGCGGCGACAAGAGCTGGAGAGGGTTGTGCCTCTTGCCACCCAACCCAACTAACCATGGAACATTCTTTTGTAAACGGGCCGCGAGGAGGGACTCCTTGTTACCAGCATACAGACGAGCACTGGCGAACCACACGTCCTTACAGCGCCGCCCCTCATGCCCTTACTACCCGCCTCTGCACTCTCGGGTTTACCAGATCGCACCGAAAGGGATGGGGAACGAACAGGGAACCGGCGATGCTTCATTTGGTGACGTGGGTGAGGCATTGTACCTTGTCATCTGGGCGCGAAGGTGCAGGAGAAGCAGGCGACGGTACGAGGAACAGAAGCTGGCGACTGTTCAAGCTTATCACGTGGTCGAAATCTGACGAACTTGCCTTCGCCCCTTCCGTAGTATTTTCCGACAATATCCCATGACGACAGACCACGTGAGGCTATCATCCTGCGCCCCCAGTGACCTTCTCGTCATTGCCCCCCCGCTTCACGTGTTACGTCGAGTTGGAAAATCTCTAGATTCAACGACGAATGAGAAACGAGTAGGACCCATTTCTAGATTTTTCGTCCTCAGATGCTCGGCGTCGCGTCGCGTATCGGAGATGACGCCCACTAACTCGACGCCAAGCCAATCGGTTCAACGCAAGGGGATCCGTCGTTCTCCGTTTGATACTACGACTCCCATCACCCCGCCGCGCTTCGACTCCAGTGCGAGGTTGCGATGCTAGATTTGCCGTTTCGAAGTGCCTCAAAAGGCAAACGACGATCAAGCGCCCGCATCGAGACAGATGGTGGCTGTAGAGCTGCCATCCCGGCGTGAGCAACCCCGCCCGGCATTAAAGATGGGCTCTAGTAGCCGGACTGTGGACCGGGCTCGCGGCTGTGGGAGCTGCCTCGCAATGGTGGAAGCTAGCTGCGAGTCGCAGAGCCGCGTTTCCAGGAGCCCTCTTCGCGTGGGGCGGTTACCAGCAGCCTCGCTCCCCTCTCTCTGGCGCCTTCAAATCGTGGGGCGGCTGCGGCCCTGGTACCCCAAGTAGTTAGGAGGGGAGGGAGTTAAGGAAAGCATTGAAGCTACGACCATAATACTCGCCTTTTTCCTCCTCCATTCTGCATATCGTTTACTCCCACTCGCTCACATCTGTAATGCGGGCCATCGAGGTCGTCTCAGAGCCTTTTCTTGGACTTTCGCGTTGATTCGGCCGGCCTTGGAGTCTTGGGTAGCTCCGCACCAGGAGTAATCTCGCAGTGACTTCAAGTTAAGCACCATCCTTAGCTAACCAGCGAAAGATTTGCCTGCAGAGATGGACAAGCGAGGTCACGTCCTGGATAGAGCAATTACTACTGACCGCTTGGAGAAGTTGTTGGGGCGCCATGGCGAGGGCCCCCACATTGCAGCGACTTCCGAGGCGGCGCCTCAAAGAAGGACCTGCGGAAATGGACATTCCAGACTGTGTTTCCTATCAGGAGGAACCACGGTGTTACGAGAGGGTGGGGGCTTGGGAACTGTGCTGTTGGGGCGGCAGGGCGCAGCCACCATCATCGAAGCCTCCATGATGTGTCCGCCTCACCCCGTTTCGGCCTCTCCAGTTTTTGATCTCGCCCGATCTTTGCCGTTCTTAAGCACGCCAGATGTATCAAATGAGGAGGAAAAGGGTATCTTGGCGGAGCTGTGGAGGCACGACGGGCAAGTTGAAGACCCCATCCTGGCAGGCCTCGTGTATCCGCCCAGCCCACTTGTTGAGGTGCCTCAAGGCCTGAATGCGACAACAAGTCAGCCGCTTTTGAGACGCCATGGACAGCTTGAGAAACTCGCCATGGCACCTTGCATGTGTGAGCGTAGGCCGCCTGCGAATCCCCAGGAGCCCGTGCAGTCTCCGTCCCATTCACATGCTGGAGTCCCTGTTCTGGAACGAGCCGTGGCGGAGCTGTTTCAGCAACAGCAACGGCAGCAGTGGCAGCAACGGCAGCAGCAGCAGCAGCAGCAGAAAGTGGCAGTGGAGAGCTGGAGCGCACATGCTCTCAGCGCCTCTGGAACTGACAGTACGGCGTTAGCACGCGTTGGTGATTCCAACAATACCGTTGACAAACATGAAGTGACCAGAGTAAATAGTCTGGTGGTAACAAATCTTGGTGATAGACATGAAGCAGCATCGGCCTCTCTGGTGCGACAGCAGCAAGTGGCAGTCAGAAGCTGGGTGGCACAAGCTGAGCTGGCAGGGCTGACTCTGCCGCCCGATTTGATCCGAGAATCTGCACATGCCGCCCGTTTTGCGCAGATGCAGATGCAGATGGAGGAGCAAAGGGGGATGGGACATTCGGCTGTGCATGAGAGTCTCGAGTATTCTCAAGGGTTTGCTGAGGTGGAAAAATCGTTTCTGGCTTTCCCCAAGCAGCTGGAGAAGGGTGGCTGCTTAGGTGCAACCCAGGAGCAAGGGGGGATGCTGGAGGGGATGCTGATGCTGGAAGCTTTGATGTTGCAGGATGGGGGGATACAGGAGGGAGGGATGATGTGGGGTGGAGGGATGGAGGGAGAGATGTTGCAGGAGGAAGGGACGATGCAAAGTTGTTCTTTTGAGGCGTCTCTAGGGTGCACAGTACAGGAGCGGCAAGGGAGCAACAGCATGAACCCTACATTGTCAGGCGGCCTTACCGGGCCAGACAGCCCCTGCCTTAACTCACACGACGATGCATCTCTTGCAGCCTCCCCAGCATCACGCCTTGCTGTTGCTGCTGCTGCTGCTGCTGCCTGTTCGCCTTCTGCTTTCTTCACGCCCTCCGCTCCTGGTGTTTGCTGCACGCCTGCCTGTGCTGGTGCTTGCTGTTCACCTGCTGCCACTCCTGGTGTTTGCCATGAGGGAGAATGGGGTCACGCCGTGACAGTGCACAAGCCTCCTGCCACGTGGACGTCCCTGATTGGTTTGGAGAAGGTACTGCAGTGGTCGAAAGTGAGGGGAGTATCGGACGAGAGGGAAGTGATTAAGGAAGAGTGGGCGGTGAGAAAGGAAGAGACGGGAGTGAAAGAGGCAAAGCCGAAGGAGGGCGGGTGGGAAGAGGAGGACTGGCGACCGCGCATTCGAGCACGATTGGATGGACAGGCGGTGGGGCTGGGGTGCATACAGGCCAGGAGCATGAAGGAGAGGCACCGCCGCGATCGCATCAGGTGACCGTTCTCTTGCAAAGCGCCTTCCCCTCTCCTTCCCTCCCTTCCTCTCTAACCTTCCACCCCGCTGTTTGCTCCCCTTCGTTCCCTTCTCTTGTCCATTTTCACCCTCCCCTTCCTCCTCCGCCACCACCCGCCCCATTCTCTTCCTCCTCCCCCCCTGTCCACTACGGCTTCCTCCTTCCTTTTTCTTTCCCCTCCCCCTCCTCTTCCCCTCCCCCTCCTCTTCGTGTGGAGCCCTATCTGCCATTTGCATTGGTTGAACATTCAGTGGGCAGTTGGCCTTGTGTGTTACACCTGAGTTACTTGGGAGGCCTGTATCTAGTGAGCATGTGACCATATTTTAATCGTGTGCATATATTGGATGTGATTGTATCAGGAGAGGTCTGGAGAAGCTTCGTAGGGTACTACCCCCATCTCTCACAAGAGCACAACTCGATACAGCCACAATGGTGGAGTCTGCCCTCTCTCACATACGAGACCTACAGGTACACTCACCGGTTTTCTGTACTGTAGTATCTTTCGAATCAATGTTAGCGATTGTTTGCTGACGCGTAAGCATTTTCACAAAATGTGCACGCGATTTGCGTGCCAGGCACGTGTCACCACCTCTTAGAGCTTAAACGGTCTTAGAGTCACCTCGTAGAAGTTTCTCATCAACCAAGGAGCTGTTTCTGGCTTGCAATGGTTTGCTGTTCATGCATCCATGCAGGTCCAAATTGAAGCATTGGAGAACTCGACAGATGCTGCCGTTGAAGCACCGAGATCTGCAGCAGAGGAGGCAGCATGTGGCTCGGCAACGCCCTAGGCGCTTCCAGGGTGACTCCTAAGTCACCTTGCTGCAGTTTCCATGCACTTTCTCAAGAGTACAGACCGTTTCACCTGGTTCTAAGATCTCCAAATAGATGGACCTCAGAGACTGCTGATATCATGGCATGGCATGGCAACGTTTCAGCTGATTTCTTGTTGTGACATGCTGGTTGATTGTAGTTTGTGGTGTATTCAGCTTTATTGACAGGTGAACCAGCATTTTAGTGTGATATAATCTGCATTGTTTGTGCATCTATTGTAGTTCAATAGAGCAGTGCATGACGCCATGCATCACCTGGTTGTAGCATACCATACGACATTGGTTGAACCTTCCTTTCGGGCATTTTCTTGTGCGATGATAATCTGACGAATCTGAGGCCCTGGTTGCATGCGTGGCTGACGATCAATCTCTCAAAGCTGAGTTGTCATCACCCCTTCTCGATTTCATTCACCCCAGCACGAGCGGCAGAAGCATGGCAGAGTCTCCAGGGAACTTCCAGGTGGCGAGAGGGGAGAGCGCCGTGGCTTCCGCGTTGAACTCCGCCACCCGCCCCCCTGCCGCCCGCACCACCCGAGCATACCCCGCTGCTGGCTGCAGTGAGTGTGGGGGGGGAGGGGGGGGTTTGACACAGGAGAAGGGAGGAGGAAAGGCGAGGGGATGGAACAAGGTGAGATGGGAGGATGAGAGAGTGCAGTGCAGCAACCTGACCCACTGACTGCCTCCATTGGCCTGATGAACCCTAGTGCTGGCTACAGGGATGAGCAAGGCAGCAATGAGGATGAGAAGATGAGCTGAATGGTTTGTTGCTGTGGCCAGGGGACAGAGGATTAGGGGTGGAAAGGAGTTGCAGGTGGCAGGGAGGACACAGGGGGGCGGGACAGGAGGTGAGTGGACGGAATGTAGAGATGACAAAGCAGTCAGACATTCGGCACTCGTGATGCAAGGAGAGTTGAAAATAAAAAGTGGCAACATTCAACCAAAAACAGCATGCCAGTGATGCACATACATGCACACCGCCTCACATGCACACCGCCTCACATGCACAACTCCCGAGGTGCCAACAACGAGCAGCAGGTCGCAGCCAGTGAGGGCGTCCTCAGCTGCTTGCACCACCCGCGCATCCAGACACTCCCCAAACCACACCACGTCCGGCCGAAGCAACCCCTTGCAGGGTCGGCTTGAAGCTGCACTATCGGGTAGCTTGGTGCAGCGCGGCAGGTCCTTGAGAGCAATGCTCGCTGCCTTGGCACCCTCGCTGGGCGCTCCCTGCAGCACAGCGAGGCGGAGAGGAGGGGATTAGGAAGGGAAAAAAAGGCTCAGGTGTAGCCGTGAAGGGAGCGGCAATGCACAGATCCATCCACCAATAATCTTCCATCACTGCACTCTACCCAACCCCTCGCTCAACCTTTCATTACAGCATTCTTCCTAAGCAACCCCCTCCGTTGCCACCCGTCCCCATTTCGCCCATCCTTATCCACCCCCAATACCTTGCCCTCTAGAGCAGCGCAGATGGGTTGAGTGCGGTTCTCTGCGATGTCACCACAGGTGAGGCAGCGGGTGCGCCAGAGGCAGCCGTGCAGCTCCACCAGCGCGCTGCTGCCTGCCGCTGTGTGCAGCCCGTCCACGTTCTGAGGGGTTCCAGGGGATGACGAGGGGTGATGGTGGGCATGATGAGGTATGATGAGGGATGATGGTGGGCATGATGAGGTATGATGAGGGATGATGGTGGGTATGATGAGGTATGATGAGGGATGATGGTGGGCATGATGAGGGATGATGGTGGGCATGATGAGGGATGATGGTGGGCATGATGAGGGATGATGGTGGGCATGATGAGGGATGATGGTGGGCATGATGATGGATGATGGTGGGCATGCTACCAATGCGCAGCGAGCAGTGCATGAAGGGCCATGGAGGCAAGAGGAGAGCAGGAGTGACAAGAGGGGCACGAGAGTGGAGTGATGAACGCAGCACGCAAAAGCCACTCGCTGGGGTGCGCATGGCAGGCCGTCCACGTTGCAGTGGGAGCATGCAGGCATGCGGGACATGGGGGCATCACAACATGTAGTCTGTAAAGCAGTGGACAAGCGGCATGGCACCAACGCATGCAGCTTGTTACAGGCACCACACACGGCACTTGCAGCACCACCAAGGGTGGCAGAGGGACAGGGGCACCTGAGTGAGCAGCGTGAAGGCCTTGCCCTCCCGCTGGCAGCGCTGCTCCAGCCGCACCAGCGCCGCGTGGCCCGCATTGGGTGTGCACCGTGCCACCACACCCCTGCCAGGCAGCCATGCAGGAAGAGGGCAGGGGGGATAGGACGGGAAATGAAGGGAGGGGAAGGGGTCAGGGAGAGTAACAGAGGGAGACAGCCAGAGAGTAACCAAAAGAGCCTGAGGACACACAGCCATGGCCCATCATCACACCATGGCCCATCATCACACCATGGCCCATCATCACACCATGGCCCATCATCACACCATGGCCCATCATCACACCATGGCCCATCATCACACCATGGCCCATCATCACACCATGGCCCATCATCACACCATGGCCCATCATCACACCATGGCCCATCATCACACCATGGCCCATCATCACACCATGGCCCATCATCACACCATGGCCCATCATCACACCATGGCCCATCATCACACCATGGCCCATCATCACACCATGGCCCATCATCACACCATGGCCCATCATCACACCATGGCCCATCATCACACCATGGCCCATCATCACACCATGGCGTCGCACCATGGCATGGCACAGTGGCATGGCACCCACCGTGGCATGGCACCCACCGTGGCATGGCACCCACCGTGGCATGGCACCCACCGTGGCATCATAGGTGCGCCAGAGCCCACCCGCCCCTCTGAAGGTAGGCACGCCTGATGCTGCAGACACACCCGACCCTGTCAGCACCGCCACACGCTGCACGGAGTCACACACAGGGCAGTGGCCGGAGGGTGAGCAAGGAAAGGCCTCTCACTGTGAGACACGAGGACGACATGACTGTCCATGAGTACGACCACCAGGAGGGCGAGCAGGAGGAGGGCGAGCAGGAGGAGAGGAGTGATTGCATAGCCGTAGTAGTAGTATGCTGATGGCATGCTGCTGCTAGAGTGACGTGATGATCAAAACTCTTGACTTTAACATGTGTTATGACATGTGATGTTACCATGTCACTCTAAGGGATGAAAATCATGCGGAATCCCATGTTCGCTACATCCTTCTCCACCACCTCCCGGTGCCCTATATTTTTTTTTGGCTGCCCGGAGGATTTTTTTGGCCTGCCCGGGCTTGCGTCTTTTCAAGCGTCTAAATGGCCCCAAGTGGGCGTCCAGCGTCAGCTTCTGGACGCTAGACGCGTCTTTCGTCACATAGCTCTCACAAGGGGTGGTGACAACAAGATTTGCAGGCGCCATCAAGCTATCATCGGTTCGATCACACTTCAATCCTCGGGCCCTGCGCACCCCCTCCGCTTCTTCCCCCCACTTGTCTTCTCATCGCACACCTCCCTCCATCCCTGCAGCACGCCCTTCCACTTCCCGTGTCTGCCCCCCCCCCACCACACCTCAACTTCCTCCCCCACCACACCTCAACTTCCTCCCCCACCACACCTCAACTTCCTCCCCCTCCCGAAACCTCCCGTTAACGTCCCCCTCCTCCTCTTCCCCCAAACTCCCCCTCACTCCACCCCACTCCCCCCTTCCCCCGAGCGGACCCCAAGCTTCAGCACCAACGCGCGCTTCTCACCGATGCTCGCGAAAGGCTCTCTCTGAACTCGTCCACGTCAGCCTGACGTGGCTCGCCATTAGTCACGGCTGACGTCATCCTTCGCAAAGCCCCTCCTCGCCAGCCAGTCAGAAGCTTCGTGTCCTTTCCTGGGTGAGACCGGGCTGTACTACAATCTAGGAAAGACAGAGTTGTGTAAGATCCACTATGCCGAGCCTGCTGAGGCTCGGACGTGGTGGTTGGAATGCCTCCGAGCCTCGAAGGTCTGGGCTGAGAAGAGAGCGGTTCGACGAGGGTGCGCGGCAGACGGACGACAGACGCGCACCCGTTGCGCGCATGGCGAGGGACAGCCCGCCGTGGAGTCAGTGCATGTGAACACGCCCTAGTCGTGATGCGAAGAGCTGCGCGGTTAATACTGAGGAGGCGCTACGCGGAAGCTTCCAATTCACGGTGACGTGGGGCTCGGGCAAGGGGGAGGGGGGTTCGTTGCGCGGTCAACGCGACGAGATGCTCGCGACGCGAGTGGTAACGCGGATTGAAGCGAGAGCGGCGCGGGGAACCAGGCAGGATGAGGGTGAAGGGCGGAGTATGCGCGTGAGCTACTTCCGTCCATGCCTCGTCTGCAAATAGCAGCCGCCAACGCCGAAGTAGTGTTCTGCGCGGCTCGCGAAGGTGGGCAAGCAGTGTACTTAAAGGGGTGAAATGCGGTAAAGGACAACGTTTGGCAAAAAATAAAGTTTTTTCTTTAACAAAGCTTGGTAAATAGTAAGTGCGTGGGATCAGGGCACTCGTTATCAGGGTAAAATACCCTTTTTGCACTGACTGGCGGCCGCTTTTTTTCAGTTACCCGTTCACAGACAGAGTAGTGGTTTTTTTACCCTAGGCCAGAAAGTGTAAGTTTTTTTGTACCCTTTGAAAAACAGCGTAAGGAACATATTTCCCTGACTGTACAGTGTACAATCCCAGTAATACTGATACCGAATGCTACGTAGCGAGACGAAACACTATGCGGGCCCCTGCAAAAGCACTTCAACATGTTAGAACTGCTAGAAAGGCATAGTGCCAGCGTAGAGGAAACGTGTTTGTAGAAAGAACAAGATAGAACTCTTGCATTGGAAACGGATTGAGAATTGATTGATTTTAGGCAATACAAGCAAGCTTGATATAGCATGCATGATCTAATGATGGAAAGTGCTTCGTGAGAGACCAAAAGTAGAAGCAAGAGAAGTAGAGTGCCAGATGGCACAAGGAAATCAAGGAGGATAAGGATAAGGGTGAGTTGGAAAGTACTGTTCAAAAGGGAACAGTAAATCCCCCCCCCTTATCATGAAGGCTTATAGAGGGGACTACACTAAAACCAAACAGCACACTGGTATACAGTATTCGTTATACTGTATTCGGATTTCCAACACTCCCCCTTGCTGTAGGTTTTAGTGAATCCGTTTTCCTTGGAGGATGGGGTGGTCGAGGTGGTGTACCACCACAAGGTAGGGGTGCGCCCAAACCAAGCTAGGGTTTGGTGGTGGCCAAGCTGCTCGTCACTGTAGCACCTTTCCCCTCCCAAGCCCTTGGTGCTTTCAAACTCCAACCAAACCTCCTCCCTTGATGTTTTCCAATCCCTCCTTCCACTGGCGACTTTCCAGATCTAGATACAGCGCGTAGTGGCTGCTACTGAGGAAATAGTAGCAGCTCCATGACGAAATCTCCTCGTAACCATGGCGAAATGCGTAGATCGTCATGGCGGATTGCCCTTAGCGCACACCGAATTTCCGAAACCGTCAACTTTACGTCACGCGATTGTCAGCGCTGCTGTCTTTTTCGCATGCCTCCTGTGCGACGACGAAAAAACACCGCAGCGGATGCGCGCCTGCGACGACTGCTGATGACGCGAACTGGTAGCGAATAACGCGTGACGTGCGGCTGGCGTAGGCAGGCGTACACGGCGTGCGGGAGAAGCGACGGCTTAGCGGCTGACGATCTGCTGCGCGTCTGCTACACCATTTTCCTGCCCTTCTCCCCCTGCCTCGGGATGCGATGGCATCAGTTTGTGCAAGTCTTGAATGCACACCACCAGATGATGCCAAGTCTGCCCGAACTTCACCCATGTTGTCATGTGATGCTCCCCCTACACTCCAGATGTATGGGAGCCGCTGGAGTTGCGGAACTTCATCAGCTCGAGTTTGCACATTTCGACGCAAAGCGGGATGACAGGTGCGCTCCAAGTGTGCAGAAATGTGTACGCCAAGGCTGCAGTGCACTCCAGGTGAGCGGTTTTATGCACCCCTGGTATGCAGTAACGCCAAGTAGGTATGCAGATATGTGCACACCAAGTAGACCAGGTATGTAGGAACCTGTGCTCCCGTGTATGTTCTCCGTATGGTGAGTAGGTCTTCCCCGTATGCTTTGTGACCCCATGTCCCAGTTTAGTGCCACTAGATACACTCGACACCCAACCCCCCCCCCCCATGTGCTTGTAGGCATGCACGTAACCGCGTTCACAGCTACAAGCACGTGAGTGAGTGTGGAGTTAGGTGACGCCATGTGGTGCAGCACCGCTTGAAGAGGCCGCACAAGTGAGCACAACATCAGCATTCTTGACATGGCGAATGTCTCCAGATGGTACACCAGGGGGAATTGGTTGAAGCCCACTCAGAACACTGCAGGTGAGATGCTGCTTGGAGGTGACCGGTTTGGTAAGGTAATCGGCTGCTTGCTTGGTTGTTGGACAGTACTCCAACCATACCACGCCATCACGCACTGCTTTACGGGTCCAGTGGTAACGCACCTCCATGTGCTTGGTGCGCTGACTCATTTGTTCCCCTTTTCCAAGGGCAATCGCACTCTGGTTATCCACATAAAGAACTGTGGGTTCTCTCTGTGGAAAGCCAAGGTCGGCACACAGTCGCCGCAGGTGAGCTGCTTCCCTTGCTCCTTCAAACATGGCGATGTACTCAGCTTCTGTTGTGGAGGTAGCGATGACCGTTTGCCGTTTCGTCCTCCAGCTGACAGCAGCTCCCCCCAGCGTAAACACATAGCCGCCCACCGAGTGACATCCAACCTCATTTGCATAGTCAGAGTCTGTGTATCCACGAAGCACCAAGTCTCCCTCTCCATAAACCAATCCAATCTCAGCCGTATTCTGAAGATACTTGAACACACGCCGAATTCCGAGCACAGTTGCTGCCGTTGGCTTGCTGGCCTGTCGGGCGAGCACATGCGTGGCAAAGGTGATGTCTGGCCTTCCTGCTGTAGAGACATATAGCAGCGCCCCAACCTGCTGCATCACCCGCTGATTGTCCACCTCTTCAGGTGACTCCCCCTGAGGTCCAGGTTCCTTGGAAATCGGCGTTCGTACTCCAGAGCGGCACTCCTCCATCCCATAGTTTGCCAACGCTTGTTTGATGTACTTGGTGAGTCCCAATGATATGGTGTTGCGGGAAGCAGTAACATTCAAACCCAGAAATTGGGTCATGGTCGAGTTGACGGTCAAGGTGAAGTTGTCCTTCAGGTGTTGAATGACTGCTTGGATGCCTTCCTCATCATCAGACTGAATGAGGATGTCATCCACGTAAGTGAGCAGCCACACCGTATCTTTTCCAGCCCTCCTCCAGATGAACAGTGATGGATCAGACTCCGACTGCATCATTTCCAGCTCCAGCAGTACTCCTCGTAAGTGTTGATGCCACAATCGAGGTGCTTGTTTCAGCCCATAGACGCTGCGCCTGAGCTTCCAAACCTTGTCTCCATCACGTCGAGGTTCAGGTGGTCGCACGTACACATCTCTGTCAATTGGTGCATAAAGAAATGCGTTGGAGATGTCCAGCTGCACAACTTTCCGCTTCGTTGTTGATGCGCCTGCAACAAACATGCGTGAAGTAGGTCCTTGGCTGACCGGGGCGTATGTCTCATCATATGTTCCCCACGTCTGTCCACAGCCTTTCACCACCCACCGTGCCTTGAACCTGCTTGGCTGGCCTTTGTCATCTCGTTTAACCCTGAAGATAATTCTCTCCGTCAACACTGGGACTCCCTTTGGTACGTCCGCCCTGTCCACCACTTCATACGCTCCCAGCTCGTCAAATTTGGTGAGCTCCGCGTTGACTGCCGCTTGCCAAAAAGGTGCGTATGGATCCGTGGTCAGTTCTTTGAGTGACTTTGGCTCTTTGTAGGTCAGGTCGACCATGGGCACAGTCGCAGCTGCACATCCCAACACCTGTTGCTGTAAGCTGGGAAGGCTGTTGACTCCTTGTGGCATGTCTTCCTTAGTCCACATGACTTGCCCTGCTTGACGCTTTCCAAGTAGCACGTCCAGCCCTGTCATGCGGTGCGCAGCTTGCCCTTCTTCTCCGAGCACAGTTACAGTCGGATCAAAGTGAACTCGTCGTTGTGGTGCACCTTGTTCGGTCAGTGGAATTCCTTCAGGTGGGTAGGCAAAGTCATAAAGGTGACATGTCTCGTTCTCCATGCCATGGTCGTCCCCGTTCTCTGAAATAGAAACACCTGCCGCAGGTATGTCATTGGTTGCAGCTCCACTTGAATCAGCTGCGACGGCTGCAGGTGAGTCCTTGTCCATTCCTCCAGCAGGGGTACTGCATACTTGGTGTCCAGTTGGCATATCGGTTGATGACGCGGAAGAGGATGGGGAGGACGGAAAAGGATCGAACTCATGCTCAATTTCTTCTCCCCCTGAAGTCCACTCCGCAACGTGGGGTGAGACTTCATTGACATAGCGTTGACGGTCGAGGAGAGATTCTGCGTCCGGCAATATGAGGTCATCAAAGAAGCGAGCAGACCGAGTGTCCGTGTCCACGTTACTTGCCATGTCCCGCACGATCCACGCTTTCCGAACGTTGGAGATGCCGAGGAACATGCCAGCTCGGCCTCTCTGCTCAAACTTGCCAAAGCTGCCTTGTGGAGGAAGGTAATAGCAGAGGCAGCCAAAGGTTCGTGCCATGGACACGTCCGCAGGTTTCCCCGTCATCATATAGTACGGTGAGTGCGCAGATGGGTTGCTGCTGCAGCTGATGCGGTTGTGTAACCATGTAGCGTACTCAAGCGCGTACGGCCAGAAGGTGGAGGAGAGGCTGGCCCCGGTAGTCATGGCCCGCACTTTGTCCATGAGTGTGCGGTTAACCCGTTCCGCGACTCCATTCTGCTGAGGGGTGTGCGGTAACGACGTCTCGTGGATGACGCCGTGGGAACTCAAATATTCTGTGAAGGCGTTTGCTGCATACTCCCCCCCGTTGTCCGTGCGCAGGGTAGCCAGCGGCTTTGTAGGCAGCTTAGTCTTCATTTCGCGGTGCCATGCCGTGAAGACAGCTTGCATGTCAGATCGGCGAACTAGCGGCGCCACCCACAAGTAGTTGGTAAAGTCATCCTTGAGCGTCAGGACGTAGCGAAGTGAGGGGTGGGCGTCACCCAGGTCCATGATGTCGCTGTGCACGAGCTCCAAAGGGCGACTTGACCGCTTCTCATTTCCTGTAGGAAAAGGGGCTTTGGTCATTTTCCCTCGCAAGCAAGAGTCACACGGGGGCTTCAGAGGGTTGGTTTTGTCAGAAATGGTAAGCCCTTCAATGTCACCATTCCGAAATGTGGCATCCATGGAAGCGTATGACGGATGCCCCAAACGCTTGTGTGCCATGCGGTATGTGACAGATGCGTGTGCAGAATGGCCACTCAAGTGTATTTCAGGTGTGCGGAAATCTGAGCTTCCGTGTGTACCGAAGTGCACTCCCAGTGTGCAGAGAGTTGTGTCCCCTTCACCACCATGCGCTTTCGATGATGCATCATCACGGGAAGGACCAGGACCATGGGCGGATGTAAGTGCAGGCTCATACTCCACCATGAGTACCCCATGCATGATGATCCCAAGTCCAATGCACACATGCTCATCTCCATCCGCCATTGTGATCGCTGTGTGCCCGTCAGTACGCGTACGAATCTGTGCACCTTTCTTGTACAGTTGGCAGTAGGAGAGGAGATTGGATTTCAGGCCGGGTACGTAGAGAACGTCAGTGTAGCGAACTGTTATCCCATCAGGTGCCGTTGCCCTGATCGTTCCCATCATCGTGCTGCGCAGTTGGCTTCCATCAGCAAGCTCCACATTCACAGGGTCGGCCAGCTCCTTCAGCTCTTCAAACCAGCGCTTGTCCGAAGTCATGTGCTGGCTGCATCCGCTGTCTAGCAGCCAGAAAGACCTTCCAGCCGAGGGTAAGGTTGTTTGTGATGATCGCACCGTTGCAATGCAGGTAATGGTGCGTTTGTTGTCTCCTTCGGCTGCCTCTTGTTGTTGTGACGCACTTTGGTCACGCTTGGGACTGCCACTCCTTCGTGGAGAGGACGAACGGTTGTAGTTGCTTCGTTGGTTTGTTCTCCCTCGGGTAGGAGGTTCCCACCCTGGTGGTGACCAATTTGGAGGTGCCTTGGTGCACTTGTAGAAGGGGTGGCCTGGCTCCTTACAGTACCAACACACGAGAGTTGAGCGACCCGCACCTCCATTCTTGCCTTGCATTTTCTCCCCAACTGACCCATGCCGTTCTTTTGGTGACCACGCCGAACCCATCTCATCATTTCCGATGTTTCCCGTAGCATGTGGAGAAGATGAGTGATCTCCACGAGCTTGTCCAGCCATGCGAGGTGGACGCCGGTCACGATTCGTCTTGGTAATGAGGTCTTGATATCTCTGCTCTCGAATCATCATCCGCTGCAAAGTGAAGCTGTCCGTTACGTTGTGTAGCATTGCCGAGTGCCTCATCTCCTCCCAATGTGCCGGTAGTCCGGTGAGCAGATTTAAGGTGAATGTGTCCTCATCCACCATCTTTCCCGCCAACGCCAACTTGTCCCGAATCGCCGTTGCGCGGTTCACATACTCCTCCACCCTCTCTTGATTCCCCATTTTCAGGTTGTCCAACTGTTTCATGAGAGAGACCTTCGCCACCGAATCTTTGGCCTGGTAAGTGTCCATCAAATACTCCCATGCTTCATAAGCCGGGCTGTAGGATTCCTGGAACATGTCTAGCTGTAGTTGAATCGTGGCGCTCACGCTGTGCAATAGGACCCAAAAGGCGAGTGCCGCACGCTGGGAGTAATCCGCGTGTAGCATTTCCAGCCGCCCCATAGCGTCGTCAATGTCACCATCTCCCATGGTAACCGGATACTGCAGGGTCACAAAGAACTCCCACAGATTCGTGACGCGGGCGTTCATACGAAACCGTAGTGCCCATTCGCGGAAATTTGAGCCGTCAAACGGAGTGGTGGTGAATGCCTTGTCCACCGTTGCTCCCACCATTTTGCGTGACAGTCGTTCCTTGTCTTCATCCGTATATTCACGTGGTGCGGGGTCGAAGAGAGTAGGCATGGTTGACGGTCGAGGTAGCTGTACCGTGCGCCGCATATCTCCATTCTGTCCACCAAGTTGACGTTCCAGCACTTCCACTTGATCCCGTCGCATGACACCACTTGACTGCATTCCGTACCCCATCCGCCCCATGCTGCCCACAGAGTGTGCGCTAATTGGTGGACGATGTGCACGCGGAGGGATGATGTTGTCGCCACGAAGGTGAGACCTGGGCATGGGAAGAACTCCAATGGGATGAGAGTTAGTCGCAAGTCGTCGTAGTGGGGGAGCACCAATAGTGTAGGAGGCAAATCCCACACCTTCCACGCCCACTTGACCATTTCCGTCATTCTGCTGGCCAATCTGTCCACTTCTCATTCCACCATATAATGCGTTCCCATACTCATCATTCCTCCCCCGCATGGATGATTGAGGTGCGGGATTGGCGCTCCCCCCTCCTTGGACGGATGCATCCCTCCCTTGGGATGACTCTCCTCCTTGGGGTATGCTCATTTCCCCTTCACCATCAATTCCTGCAACGACATTGGAAGCATGCGTTTGGTTAGTACGAGGAGTGCTTGAATGCGACTGTCCATGAGTGGACGGATTGCTCAACGAGTGTGCGGTTGTTGGCATGTTGAACTTGACTCGCAGTGATGCCTGCAGTGCTGGTGGTGCCCTTGAAATCATGTTTTCCAGGTGCTCATGCTGGGCCAAGATGGCTTCTTCAAAAGCCGCATATCCAGCATCCACTTCGTCATCGAATTGCGCCATGATCAAACCGTACACCAGGTGTGCGCTACACGCGCAAGATAACTTCAGAAGTGAAGACCACGTGTACGAAAGCGTATACTAGGTGCCCGGTACTCTGAGCGTTTGCAGGTACCTATCCGAAGGGAATTCCAGCAACTTTATAGACCAAATTTGGCAGCATGCCCCCTAGAGTTGCTCTGATACCATGCTAGAAAGGCATAGTGCCAGCGTAGAGGAAACGTGTTTGTAGAAAGAACAAGATAGAACTCTTGCATTGGAAACGGATTGAGAATTGATTGATTTTAGGCAATACAAGCAAGCTTGATATAGCATGCATGATCTAATGATGGAAAGTGCTTCGTGAGAGACCAAAAGTAGAAGCAAGAGAAGTAGAGTGCCAGATGGCACAAGGAAATCAAGGAGGATAAGGATAAGGGTGAGTTGGAAAGTACTGTTCAAAAGGGAACAGTAAATCCCCCCCCTTATCATGAAGGCTTATAGAGGGGACTACACTAAAACCAAACAGCACACTAGTATACAGTATTCGTTATACTGTATTCGGATTTCCAACAAGAACCTGCGCCTTTCAGGCGCTATTCCCTAACACACCAGCTGAGCCACTAAGCCTTAATCTTACTAAACTCAGAAATATTCATACAGTAATTTCTGAAAAAAATACCCTTGCCAAACAGTGTTACAGTTTTTTTACCTTGTATTTGTCAGGGAAACAAAAATTTTACCTTATGCATCAGGGTTGACTATACCTAGAACCCTGATTACTAAGGGTGGCCCAAAACGAATCTGAAGCCCTGCGTGGGATTCTATAATTTGAGCTGAGAACTGCTTACAACATCCACCAAACGCACTCCTGCATCCCACTCCCTGCGTTCTCCTATATGTGCTCATCTTGTCTCACATAACAATGCACAATGAAGACGATCAGCAATTGGTAGCAACGGACTGGACTTGGGCATCACATCAGCACACCTGCCTAGCTTTCACATCTCAATGCAATCCAACTTCGTGCAACTTTCACCACTCGCTGGCCAACCACACGTCACCAAGTGGCGGCTCCCTGGGCACAGGAGGCATGGCAATCACATCATCTGCACCCAGCCGGATGCCAAACCGGCCCCTCACCACCGCACTGAACTCATCGTCTGTTGCCAGCTGCTGCTGCCTCTGATCACGGGAGAAAGAGGATGCATGCGCATGAAGTGGATGAGATAAAGGAACATGAACAAGGAAACATGTACCCGGTGCGTTAACAAGGACACACACAACCGGTCATTAATATGGAACCACACACCTGGTGCGTTAACAAGGACACACGCACGCACCCGATGCGTTAACAAGAAAACATGCAATATATGTGTAACCTCCTCACCCTTACCTGCCTTCCACCTTTACCTGCCTTACCAACCCCTCCGCGTACTCGCCCCTCTCACCAGCACGCGCCCCTCTCACCTGCACGCGCCCCTCTCACTGGCACGCGCCCCTCTCACCTGCACGCGCCCCTCTCACCAGCACGCGCCCCTCTCACCTGCACGCGCCCCTCTCACTGGCACGCGCCCCTCTCACCTGCACACACCCCTCTCACCTGCACGCGCCCCTCTCACCTGCACGCGCCCCTCTCACCTGCACACGCCCCTCTCACCTGCACGTGCCCCTCTCACTTGCACGCGCCCCTCTCACTGGCACGCGCCCCTCTCACCTGCACGCGCCCCTCTCACCTGCACGCACCCCTCTCACCTGCACGCGCCCCTCTCACCTGCACGCGCCCCTCTCACCTGCACGCGCCCCTCTCACCTGCACGCGCCCCTCTCACCTGCACGCGCCCCTCTCACCTGCACGCGCCCCTCTCACCTGCACGCGCCCCTCTCACCTGCACGCGCCCCTCTCACCTGCACGCGCCCCTCTCACCTGCACGCGCCCCTCTCACCTGCACGCGCCCCTCTCACCTGCACGCGCCCGTGGCCATCCAGCAGCAGCAAGTGGCGGTCGCGGATCATCTCGCGAATCACCCCCCTGCCCTCCGCCTCCACCTCCCCCTCACTGCACACGCGCACCGCCACACGCGGCCCGCCCAGGGGCGAGGCATGGCGCATGCACTGCAGAGAGCGGCGGGTGGGAGGGAGGGCAGAGCAGGAAGAGAGGGGCCGGGAAAGGGCTGGCTAGAAGCAGTGGGTGGCAGGGGCGGGTATAGAGGCGAGCATGCAGCTGTACTAGCGCTGGTGCCGTGGCATGCTTGCTATGTGTGCGCGACCTCATGGCACAGGCAGAAGGGAAGGAGGCGAGAGAGCCAGGGAGAGGCGGGAGCACCTGGAGGAAGTGAGCTGTGTCACGCGGCCACGTGGAGAAGCGATACAGCGGCTGCCACTGCGCCTCCTCCTCACAAGCGGCCTCCCCCCATGCCGCCTGCTCGCCATCTGCTCCTACCCATCGACCGCCTGCTTCACTGGGCCCCACGCGGCACAGCCTCTCCACCGCATACCACTGCTCGCCTGCCCTCACCGCTGCTGCCTGTCCACCTGCAGCATGCGTGAGCCACGGTGGGCATGGTGCTGTGTCGCCACCCAAGCCCTCCCTGTAGAAGGCATCATCATCATCATCATCATCATCGGGGTCTGAATTGGAGTCTGCGTCCAAGCCAGCACTCCCCTCACCCATGCGCCCATCCATTCCTCCCTCTACGTGCTCCACTTCCCACCCTTGCACACCGCCTTCTACCGCCCTCCATCCTTCCCTGCCCCTGTCCGCTGCTGCTACTGCTGCTACTGGCTTCTCCTGGCTCTCAGCCGTGCATGCAGGCGCCACACTGACAGCCCCCGCACCTCTTCCGTGCCCCCAAGGGGCTGCCATGCCAGGTGCTGGCGGGTGGGGCGGGGCGCATGGGGATATGCGGTACACCCCCGCGTCCTGGTGCTGTGGGGGAGAGGAGTGGTGGGATTGAGAGGTGGCATGGAGAGGAAACGCTTGGGTGAGGAGAGAGAAGGGGTGGGAGTGGGAGTGGCACATCACAGCAAGGAATGGAGGGACGTGTGTAATAAATGGAGATGGGAGGAGAGGGGAAGGAGCGGCGTGCCTGGTGGATGCCGGGTTGGAAGAGCAGTGGCTCCAAGAACATGGGGTGGGGCACAAGGCTGCTGGGGCAGCAGGGCGTGCTGACGTCAGCGAGCCATGCCATGCCGTTGATGTGCACCAGCAGACACATCTGCATGCGGTGAGGGGGGGAGGAACGGGGGGTGGTGGGGCAACGCATGGTGAGAGGGCATGTGCATGCATGAGTACACATGATAGCGCATGCGGTGGGAGGGCTTGTGAAATAATGGGGTGGGGTGGGAGGGAGGGCGTGGGTGGGAGTGCATGGAAGGAAAAGGGCTTGAGAGTGGACGCAATAGAATGAATTCGTTCGACAAGTGTGAGACTGGCAGAGTGAAGAGTTGAGAGATTCTGAATGCCATGATATGGGTGGGTGATTGGTTGGGTTGTTGTATGGTTAGTTGGTTGGCGGCTAGGTGGGTGGTTGGATGGGTGGGTGTGTGGGTACAGGGCAGAAAGGTATAGGAGGAGCCAAGTGAGATGGCTCACTCACATCGTACATGGTCTGCCAGCTCTGCACTTGCTGATGAGGCAGCTGCACTAGCTGACTGGACAGGCTGCTGCGCTGAGTCAGCAGGAGATGAGAGGCGAGCCATGCAGGCAGCCGCATCGTCCGGCGATGGCGCTGCTGCAGGGGAGGCAGCATTCAAAGTAGCAGCCGGTACAGGTGGTGGACGAGAGGATCGCCGGGAGGAGGACGGAGGGGAGTGGTGGTGGCGGGGCGAGTGTGGCGAGTGGCAGGAGAGGGCGGGGAGGAGGTCGACCTGGCAGGCGAGGTGGTGGCGGAGCACCCAGGCGAACAGCACGTTGGACTGCAGTCCACGCACACAGGAGAGGGGGGGTGGGAAGGAACGGTGATTGGATAGGGGTGAGCTTACGGGGGCCCGTGGTGCTCTGCGCGGCCTTAACAGCTCCTGACGGGCCCTGTGCTGTGGCGTGGCTGAACAGGACGAGGGCGTCGGTGCAAGCGGGAAGGAGTGTTGCAAGCTGGCGTGCGGGAGAGGTGAGTGAGGCAGGATGGCGAGGGTGAGGCAATGGGAGATATGGTGATATGCTGCGAGCGACGATCAGCACGTGGCGTTCTCCAAGACCCCTTCACCACTTCTGCATCATCAACATCACAGCATCGCAACATGCGTTTCCCTGCCGTGCTTCACGCCCTCCCCATGTCCGCGCCTCATGCGAGCATGCCCCTCACACCCGCCGCGGCCTCACGTCCCGTGCGCCCCCCCTCACCTCGAAGCACGAGCCTCCGCGCTGAGAGCACACCATCTTGCGGTACAGCGCGCGCGCGCCCAGCGCTGCAGGGCTGTCCGCCACGGGCCTGCATAATGCAATGCCGAGGGCACGCCACACACGCGAGGGAAGGGGAGCGCAGGAGGCGTGAGCGACAGAGTGCGTGCAGCATGGCATCTGAAGTGCATCGCCCGCACGCCCAGCGCGGCAGGCTCTCCACCTCACCGGGCCTTCATGCTGCAGGGAAGGCGCGGGACACAAGCGCCATACTGCGAGAGTGGATGAGAACACGCAGCAGCCATCCGCGCAAGACGCTGCAGGCGGCGGAGGTCGGGCTGGAGGTCAGACGGCAGTGGCAATGCGCGAGAAACGGGTATGCGGGCGAGGGCCGGGGGTCAGGTGGTTGGAGCGGGTTGGTGTTGACGGTGGTGGAAGGGAACGACTTGCTGACGGTGGTGGAAGGGAACGACTTGCTGAAAAGGAAGGCATCTCACGAGAGCACGTCCAGAGGAATGTTCCTCGCATGTTCCTCATGAAGCTGTCGAAACAGCCCCACGACGTCCTCTCCCCACGCCTCCCCCCCTCCCCCGTCTTCCCCGGCCCCTCCGCCTCCCTCTCCCCTCACCGTCCCCCACATTCCGCCCGCCACCCCCCCGCGCGCACACCCCCGCCGGTAGGGGTCAAGGCGCGCGGGCAGCGGGCCGGCGTGGCGTAAGCGGAGAAGGTAGCCGCGGAGCATCTTGAGCGGCGAGGGGCCTTCCGCCTGCTCATGCGCGTCCCATGAGCGCGTCGCATGCATGGCGTGGGTGGGTTCACCGCTGGTGTCGCTGTGTCGAGGGGGGTGGGGGAGGGGGAAGGCACGGAGTGGCGCGATCGCACGAGGATGTGCGGGCAGTTGGGGCGCTGGGGTTGATGCAGATGGGGAGGGGGAGTGAGGGGAAGGGGGGATGAGGTGAGGACCTGCAAGAAGGCGGAGTGCTTGCAACAATCCTGGTGGCACAGCGAGGGGAAAAGATCATGCAGGGGCCGAACAGTGCCAGAGGGGTGATCAACCAAGGGCCAAGAGGCCCGGAAAATACCAAACCGCTGCACAAAAAGATATTAACAGAGAGGTCTCGTTTGTTGCACGTAATTCTGTTACTAGTGGCATGCACTGGCTAGCATTTTCGCTCGAGTGTCGTTTAGCGAGCCGACTCTGCTGGGAACTCTTAGGGCAGCAAAAAAACTAAAACCCATAGGGAATCTGGATGCAGTTTCGGGATGGATCAACCCTAAAAATGGGGACCTTCCTGGTTTATTTAGGGTTGATGCCTCCCGAGGCGCATCCGTTTCCGAATGGGTAATATTATTTTTTACTGTGCGTTTTCGATCGCGTTGGTGATATGTATCAACCATAATAAAATATGTTGTTACGTACTCACGATTTGACACGCCGAATTTTAAATCCAGAACAAGGCGACGCGCGCGCTGTAGCTGACGGCGGTCAAAACCCTTATTGAAGAAGTTTTACACGCAATTCGGTTTCTTCAGCAACTCTCTTTGAATCACGGTTCGGCTTGTTCGCCCAGCCGTGCGGGCAGCTCCGGGTTGAAATCCTACGGTCGAGATTTTCCGACCCTACTTTGATCACCCCTCTGGCACCGTTCGGCCCCAATATGATCATTTCCCCACGGCGAGTTTGGTTTTTGGGTCGAACGTCGCCTCATTACACTCAGACAGTCACCCTGTCCAAAAATGATATCGAGCTGTAGAACCCTTACGTCGCACCTAAGGGGATGTCCAGCTCGTACATTTACTGTTCGTGAACCCGCTCAGTTACCACATTTTTGTTCTAACACTGTATTGAACGTGTCCTTCGGACACAATCAGCTTTCGTTCACAAGACGGCACGCCCCCTGCACGTACCTAGCATCGTCTGACTCACGTTACTGGAATCAGCGGGGACGCGAACAAGGGTACAGCACCGCGTCCTGGCCACTACAGTGGTCCCCCCTGAATCGCTTGCGCAATTTCGCCAGTAGCTCGCTACAATCGCCAACACCCCCCCGCCTGCCAAAAAATTCGTTAGCTATGATTGACGAGGGAAACTGTTACCTCGTTTCGAAAGCGATCAGAGCACTGTTGATTCGTGTGGCGGGGAACGTGTCCGCGCTCCTGAAATTAGAGGTAGGTTGGACTCAACTCACAATGCATTCGTTTTTAGGTACAGTGATTATATTTGAGCCTCGAGACGTGTGCTGGCACTAAAAAACCCGAAATGAACAAACTGGACACGCCCTAACTACCGCGCACAGTTCTGTTCACGGCCTCATGCATATCTTGTTTCTTCGCCATCAGACGAAATCCGTTGAATCTCCCTAATGTGTTACCCTGTTGTCAGCCAGGCCCAGTGAATGACGTCACGTGGAATGCTTCTTCGCAAAATGTCGCCACCCGAAACCACTCTGCATTGTGGAAAATCGCACATCAACCAAAGCCAGGAAACCTTGAAAGCAGCGGGGAAAATACTTCAGACTGATCAGGTGCTTGCTGTGACGATGATCGCCACAGCAACATCGACCATAATAGCCTCTGATGCCATTTTTTACAGGTCACTACATTACAAAGGCCACGTAGTTTAGTCGGCCACAATAGTGAGAAGAAAGTCGGATTAGGGTTAGTTTTTCCAACGTGAGGGAATAGCGGACGTATCCACCCTTGATTGCCCAAGTCCGCTGACGTGGACACATTAACATAGACAGCCCGTCACACTTGGCGCGAGGAAGACCTTTTCGACACTCGCTAGAGACACATACCGCGACGCGCAGGCGATAGATACACATACCTCGACGCGCAGGTGAGGGAAAATAACCAGTTTAGGATGGGAGCTTAGCACCAGCCCACGCACATGCATAAAGAGCAGGGCTATGTGATGACGCGCAGGCCGCATTCACGGAGATGGGCGAAGACGCACTACCGTCCGAATCGCGTTCTGATCCTTCCTCTCCATGTATTTATATTTTCCCACCACTCCCTGCTCAAGTCTGTTTCACACCATTCCGAGGGGGACACCCATACCCTCCTTCCTCCCCTCATCTACCTCCCCGTCCTTCACCTCCTCTTTTCAACACCGCGCCATTCCGTCTCCGACTACCCATGGGACCTTACTCCCTTCGTCTCCCACCCCCTCCTTTCCCTCCTAGTTTCCAATCCCCTCCTTTCCGTCCGCGCCCTGCCGCGTTCTCCCATCCGCAATCGCCGTCCGCATTCTGTCATTCGCATGCGCATTCCCGCAGTATGGTATTCGCACGCGCCCAGCCGCATTCACTCCCCCTATCCTCATGCCCCCCCTTTCAATCTCCCTGCTTCGTGTTCCCCCTTTCTTTTTCCATACCTTGTGAAGCCCCCTTCGTTCGTATTCTTTTTGAAAATGAAAGGGGCTTCCTCTGAATTTGCATACCGAGTGCTCCCTTACAGTGCCTACGGCCCTCAAGCCCCGTTTCATTTTCCCGGCCTCGGAAAACCCCTTTCATTCAGCATGGCTAGTGTATCCCCTTTCATTCAGCATGGCTGGTGTATCCCCTTTCATTCTCTCTGCCTCATGTTTCCCCTTCTGAGTTTCCCTAATGTCTCCTCCCTTTCACATTCTTCTCATCCCATCCGTGTGTTCCCCCTCTGAACCTCTCTACTGCCTGCAGCTAATAACCATGGCCTCTCAGCCCCACGTGAGGTATGCGCGTGTCCCTAATTCAGACTCCGACGCTGCTCCCGACTTCGCCGCAAGCGCATCCGCCGCTCCTCCGTCGACCGCAGGAAGAGCGCGAGGCTCCAACGATGCAGATATCCGCTTCGCTGGTCCGGACATCCACAGGCGCGTCCCGAAGCGGTCGGTGCTGCTCGCGCTGTTCCTGCTGTTCCTGGGGTGCGCGTCGCTAGCAACGTTCTACCTCATGCAGACGGGGCAGGTGGAGGCTGGCGCGCAGCAGAAGTGGACGTGCCTCGCCATCGCCTTGCTCACGCTTATGCCCGGTGAGCCTTCCTCACGGTCATGCCCGGTGAGCCTTGCTCACGCTCATGCCCGGTGAGCCTTGCTCACGCTCATGCCCGGTGAGCCTTGCTCACGCTCATGCCCGGTGAGCCTTGCTCACGCTCATGCCCGGTGAGCCTTTCTCACGCCTGTCCACCATCCTCACCTCTCCGTCGCTCTCTCGCCGTCAACTTTCTCTCGCGACAACCTCCCACCACTACTAGTATGGCATGCCTCTCTCGCTTGGCCTAATGACCCCTCACCTATTGCTGGCGTATCCACCATGCATGCTGTCACCCATCATGCGTGACAGCACCACGCTATGTGGCATCCGTTTTCCCAGCCATATAGCTAGTCTTGAGGCCCCTTAAAGCCACATAACTAGCTTGAGGCGCCTCAAAGCTTAGATGGATTTGACGGAACCAGTGTTTTTACGCTAGAGTCAAAATGCTACTTTTTTTTTACGCTTGACTCGAACCTGTGGGAGATTGACGCTGGTTATGACACTCAGGAGGGTAGGCGAAAAAAAAACCAGGGGTGGGGGAGGGGAGGGGGAAGAAGATAAGAAGGTAGATAAGGTGGCGGGCAGCCAAGATAGAGATTTTTTCCCCCCAAAATGAGGCTCAATAAAAAAGAGCATGCATACATTGTTCTCACACTACTGGTACTACTACCACCATCCCTCCTCCCCAACCTATCACAGGTAGGGTCCCAAACCGCAATGTAGGGAAGTTTGGGTTTTGCAGGTTGGCGTTTCTGGGCTGTGTGGTGCCGATTGGAATTCTGGAGTCGCGTTTTTGGCTCGATTCCCAAAAATGTTTTTTTGGCCGGAAAATAAATTCAGTACGTTTTGATGCTGCACGCTGGCCCTTTCTAGTGTCAAATCCATCTAAGTCTAAAAGCCACATGGCTTGCCTTAACTTTCCCTGTTCGGTGTTGTCACCATTGCTGTTGCCGTGCTGCTGCTGTTGTTTGCTGAAACGTTCCTCAGATTCATTCGTCGTTCTGTCATATATATGTATTAACACAACTCAGCCCTTACGTTGTCCATGCACGCAATCATTAGAGCTCTGATTTCAGTACCCCCTATTCCACTTCCACTCCACCCCTTTCTCTCACTCCGCATAGCGTGTCGTTGGCGTTTCACTAGTCATCCCCACTCTGTCCCATTCACATCTAAACCGCTTCTGATAGTTCCCAAAAACGGCTCAACTCATGAGTTAGTCACTGCATCAGCTGAAGCATTTACTTGCATGCATCGCCTCTGGGTCCATGCATCGCCTCTGGGTCCATGCATCGCCTCTGGGCCCATGCATCGCCTCTGGGTCCATGCATCGCCTCTGGGTCCATGCATCGCCTCTGGGTCCATGCATCGCCTCTGGGTCCATGCATCGCCTCTGGGTCCATGCATCGCCTCTGGGTTCAGAGACCAACGGATTCTGTGCCTTTGCCTGCCACTGCGTAGCTCTCTTTATCACCCAAACCTCTGTTTCTGTGTCTGCTCCTCCACTCCTCCGACCCCGCCCGTCACTCAATAAGACTGGCATCATTCGTTCCTCCTTTTTATGTTTTTTTCTTCATCCCCGTGCCAATATTGCAGGCTTTTATGAGAGCCGCATTGCGTATTATTCGTGGAGACAAGCCCCAGGATACTCTTTCGCACAAATACCTTGCTACTAGTACCTTCATCTGGATGAGCCTCCACGTTGGTGCTCTAAAGCTGAAGGCCTGCATACCTGTGTGTTGTCCGTTCACTATTTTAGGGAATGTGCTTGTTCAATGTTCTCAAATGTAGGTACGGTACTATGATCTGCACACATAAGCACATAATATGTTTATAAGATCCAAAATCAGTACCTGGCAGTGCAAGCTTTACTCGGAAAGGAGGAAGCAGCAAGCCCCAACACTTATTCACTGCCATTAATGCAGCATCTCTTGCCGAGTACAAACATGGTTTCCCTGTCAACGAGTCAACTAATGCGGCGCCACACCCAAGTGCTAATGAAAGCTGCAGCTTCCTGACGCCCTTCCCTCCACACACGTTCACTGCGCATAGTGCAGCGTGGCCTCAGCAGAGTGTTAGGGCGTGTTCCTACGGCCCCTTATCAGGCGAACCTCTTGTCAGATTCGCGTCGCAACGCACTGGAACACATGTAATAAGATTCGATCGCACTGAAACGCATGGAACCGCACAAGTATGACAAGAGGTCGGCTGATAAGGGGCCGTAGGTATTAGAATGGACTAAGATACTAGCGGAAGCTTTAGTAGTCTTAGAACCTCCTCCTAAAGCCTAGGAATCCTAGGAGCCCACTTGGGCATGAATCATGCTAGAACCAAAGTGGTTTCCAAAAGTGAAATACCAACAAGAGAGAACCCTAACCTATAGGGTTTGGGAGGTGGTCCACTCTAAAGAGTGTACACCACAAGTTCTCCCAACCCAACCAATGTATTCTACACTACCATAGTGTAGATGTACCACTACATATGTTTATTGGAGCAACCCGAATTAACCTTAATTCCAACACCCCCCCTTGCTCCAATAAGCATTAAAGTTCACCCATAAATCAAAATACAACCCCTCCAGCGAATGAAGCCTTGGCCTTCGCAGCAATCACTCGCATGCCGATGCGCTCCAGGTTCTCATGCAGCTGCAAGCTTGGAAGAGCTTTGGTGAGCATGTCGGCATCCTGGAGGTGGGAGCGTACTGAGTGCACCTCGACCTCCTGCTGGCGCACCGCATCCCGTACAAAGTGCCATGCCACCTTAATGTGCTTGGTGCGCTGATGGAAAACGGGATTGTGGGCAAGGGAGACAGCTGCCTCATTATCACAGAGCAATGGAATAGCCCCCCCATCCCCCACATGCATCTCTGCCAACAGACTCCTCAACCAAATGGCCTCCTTGGCCCCCTCCGATAGAGCTTTGTACTCAGCTTCAGAAACGCTTGCTGCAACACTGTCTTGCTTTTTGCTATACCAGCTGATTGCTCCTCCTCCCAGCTTAAAGATGTAGGCAGAGCGACTCTTGCCATCAGTCTCACCACCCCAATCCGAGTCTGTGTACCCGACAACCTGCTCACCACCTTGGCGCTCATACCTGATGACACGATCAGCTGTGTCGACCAAGTACCTGAGTGCTCTCAGTGCAGCGCGCATGTGAATGCGTCTTGGTGCCACGCAGGACTGTGCAAGGGTGTTGACAGTGAAAGACATGTCAGGACGGGTGGTCACAGCAGCATACATCAAGCTGCCAATGAGACTCTGGTACACCTTGACATCAGCTGCAACACCTTCCTCAGTTGACCAAGTACCATTCCTGATCTTAGAGAGATCATTGGGTGACATTGGAGTATGCACCCTATGGGTCTCCTTCAGCAGATCACCAAACCTTCCCTGGAGACCACGGACATACTTCTCCTGACCAATCTCCAACCACCCATCCTTGACCGACCTGCGAACCTCCACACCAAGGTACATGGATACCTCACCTAGATCCTTCATCTGGTACCTCTGAGCAAGCACCTCCTTGACCTGACCGATCAGCTCCAAGCGTGGAGACACAAGCAAGAGGTCATCCACATACACCAATACATACACTGGCTCTTCATCCACAAACCTGATGTACAGAGCCTCATCACATGCACTGCGGTCAAACCCTGCTGCAATCAAGGTGGTACCAATCTCCTCATTCCAAGCACGAGGCGCTTGCTTGAGCCCATAGAGAGCTTTGCGCAAGCGATGCACCCTACCTGTACCATCATCAAATCCCTCAGGTTGCCTCACATACACTTCCTCTTGAAGGAGTGCATTGAGGTAAGCATGATCAACATCCTCCTGTTGTACATGCCACCCTTTTACCGCGGCTTCTGCAAGAAGCACCCGACCTGAGGTCAGCTTGCCCACAGGGGCAAATACCTGATCATAGTCCTTCTCAGGCTCCTGAGTGTACCCCTTAGCAACAAGGCGAACCTTGTGCTGTACCACCTTATCCTCCTTGTCAGTTTTCCTGCGGAAAACGTACCGGACCCCAATGGCCTTCTTACCTGGAGGTAAGTCAACCGGCTCTGGATCCCATACACCCATAGTGCGCATTGCATTTACCTCCTTCTCAGCGCCTGCCTTCCACGCAGGGCCCTCAGGGCCACGCAGGGCCTCAGCGAGTGTGCGTGGGACATCACCTGTGCTCACACCTGCCAGTGCAACACCTTCCACCTCCCTGGCCAAACATAGCATGCCCTCAACCACACCAGCATCCCCCCCTACCTCCTCACCACCTGTACCAGACTGGATACCAAGCACCTGCAAACCCGTAACCGGTGGTGGGGAGGTAGTCGCTGGTGACGGAGGGGCACCCGTAGAGAGAGGGATAGAGCGCTGACCAGAGGAGGAGGAAGAGGAAGTAGCCTGTGTAGCGGATCTCCGCTGAATGACCGAGGGGCCACTGAGCTGCTGCAGAGGGGTGGGCTGCTGCTGCACCGACACACTCAGCGGTGCCGGTGGCAGTGGTGAAAGTGGCATCTCAACGTCGTCAGCCGTTGCTGAAGGTGGCGAGAGTGGAAGAGGGAGGAGTTGGGAAATTGCAGCTGCATCCTGCAGAAGCTCCCCAAATTCCTTTGCCTTGTCCCAATCCTTCCACATCACATTCTCAAGGAAATCAACATCCCGAGCAATGCGAATGCGCATGATAGAAGGGTCCAGCATGCGCCAACCCTTGCTCTCCATGTCCACCCCAACACAGACACACATGACAGCCCGTGCATCAAGCTTGCCACCCTTCTCATGCCCATGCAACATGACACTCCCCATGCAACCCCAAATCCGAGCCATGCCCACATGCGGCTTCTGGCCGGACCACGCCTCCATTGGTGTGATGGAGGCAGGCAAAGCACTGTGGGTGACCCTGTTCTTAACCCACACGACCCACATCAATGCTTCACCCCACAAGCGAGCAGGGAGACCACTGTCGACCAACAATGTGCGAATCCCCTCTGCCATCGTCCTGTGCCACCTCTCCACAACCCCATTCTGTTGCGGTGTATCTGCGACGCTCAATTGAGTTTTAATGCCAAACTCCGCCTTCCATGCTTTTACAGCTTCCCCCAAGAACTCGCCACCCCTGTCCGAGCGAACAGCCTTCAGCTTCCGCCCACACTCCAACTCCACGTCCTTATGCCACTGGCGAAGGACTTTTGCAACTATGGCCGATTCCTTGTTGGGGAGGGGGAACGACCAAACTCGTCTGGTGAAGTCGT